ATTTTGTGAACACTTCGGGGAGCTTACGAGTAGTCAGGCGGTAATTAGCCACACTGCATTTCTTTTGCGACTTTGTCATCCAGTCTTTGGAACAGCAGGCTTTAATTGTTGACCATTTCTTGCTCCGAAAACAACTTCGTAATCCGAAATCCAGTTAAATTCGTCCAATATACTCTGTATTCTTCCTTTTCTCCATTTTGTTTTTATGTTTACCGACAACAACGTGGTTTCCCGCATTGAAGAGTTCCTATAAATACCGTAAATACGCAATTCGGCGCGCGCATGTGTTTGACAACGAATACTCTTTCTAATAACGTAGCCTTTGTCACTGTATCTGATAATTGAGGTTCGTAATTCTGGAGATAAGCGTGAGATCTTCTGCAGTTCTACCATTTGCCTAAGTGAATTGATAAACTGCGAGCGCATCCTAACCCAAAAAGACGGAGTAGACGATCGAACTAAACAGCCGGACGGAACAGCCGGACGGAAAAGCCGAACTAAACGACCAAATGAAATAATTGGACGATAGGGACGGTCGAAATAACCGAACGGAACTATTTAGCTGATACGAACGAAACAGACGGAACATACGAACGGTGCTCGAACGGTGAACGACCGCTTTCTAGACGCTAGACGACCGCTAACCGCACGCGAGCCGCACGCAGAACGAACTGAACCTAGGTGGATACTTGGGCGTAATTCTAACTGTATTAGATTTACATAATTTATAATACTCCCGGGTTCAGTATAATGGTATGATTTAATTATATTGCTGAAGTAAACGATTTTTTCTTATTTACATGCAAGATTTAAATATGTAAAAATGACGGTCCAGAATAAATAACTGAGGGAGGAGAACCTACTTATAGTAAATAGGATCGCATAACAAAACTATTTTTTAAATCGTTATGTTTCAACAGTTCATGTTTACACATGATGTTGACTTAGAATGTATGATCAACTTTTTTTCTATAAATAATTAATTTTCGACTTCAGATAGAATCGGAATACGCATTGAAAACTGAAAAAAGTCACCTGTTTACGTTGTAAAAATGACGCGTGCTGCCGATAACTACGACTTCTGTTTCGGACAAAAATAACTGATTAAGGAAAAGTTGTCTCAACATAAAAAAGGGTCCATTTACAAGTATGCTTTAATCTATGTAAAGTATTGAAAACATATAATTATCAAGTATCTCAACACGTTCCATATCTGACACATATTCTAAATGTACACGTAGTGGTTTTGCCAGAAATGTTTATAGTATGTGATGGCTAATATTACTTACTACGTGTTAGAGTATAAAGACAGTAAAAGTGGGAAAGAGAGTATACATGAATATATATAATGCATGGTATAGAAAAAGAAAAAAAATGTAAAAAAAAATCACAACGTTTTTCTCTTTTTTATACTTGTCAATGTATATGCACTTAATGAAAACAATTGAAAAGGGATAAAGAAAGGTTTGTCCCTTGGTTGAGGGAGCTGTTTGGCCCCGTTCCGTTCGTACCGGTAATAGATATTTCCTGATGTCAATAAATAATGCCGAGTTGCCAACAAATATTTCTTCATTGAAATTCTGAATATCGGCATGTGTGCAATTAACTTCTGATGATGAAGAATTACTGATTCAATAAGTTTCAACACGGAATTAGAAATCATATTACTTGGTTTCATAGTGCGGTAAGAAGTTGCAGTTGCCTGACGGCCCCTCTCTTGGGGCCCCTTTGGATCTCGTTCAGACCATCTGTGTTTATACTGCCTCGTTTCAAAACCGCCAGGCGCTATTTTTAACAGGGCTTTCCCGAACAATTCAAGTGGTCAAACTGGACATTTGGAACGGACTATGACTATTGGGATAGCAAGGTAACATAAGTGTAAGTGCATACAACACATACATTCATTAAAAAAAATATAGCTCTTCACGTGATGTTCCTTTAAGAGTCATTATTTTGATTACAATATGGGTTTTTTTGCAGTATAATATAATTTCCTATAGCATACCAGTGGCGGAGCCAGATACCTATCTGGGATGGTTTAAAAATGTCCAGGTGGGGGGAGTTCAATGTGGGGGGAAATTGAGGTACAATGTACAGCATACCTGAAATTCATTTAATGTTAATTTTATCCAAACTGAGGAATTTAAACCAATTATTCAATTTATACCACATAACTAAATGTATGTTTCCCAAATTTCTGTGCAGAATGCACATGAATGTATCAATATCACTAAACATGGGACTTACACGTCTCTAGTTTCTCCTGCATCGATGATAGTTTTGGGATAATTCTGGGGCTAATAAGTCACCAATTCATGATCACTGTATTGGTTGTTTTGATAGTGGAATGTGGGATAAAATATGAAATATATGGTTGTTGTCGATAGCTGTGACTTGAAATAACTATTTCATAAAGCAAGCAAATATTGAATCGATTGAATTGATGCAGCATTCAATCAAACCTGAGTGTCAGTTGTATATCTTGAATTCGTTTAGTTTTAGCCTGGGGCCGAACTTGCCCCAGTCTCCCCTTTCAGCTGCGTCAAATATACCCTATATATAAATCCCTATAATATGATGACAGAAAATATGATTTTAATTGTTTGCCAATTCCTAAGAGCGAAAAATTGTGGCTAAATGAAGTTTTATGTTTTGAGTTTGGGCAACACACCCCGAACTAATGTCCTCTATCCGCCCCTGAAATACATGTACGTTACTATTTTGTACCTATCTATATCTCTTCCAGAAACACAATCATGTTGCTTACCTTGTACGAGTGTGACGTGTAACTCACCATACGCAAACAAAGAGTAAAGGATTATGGGTAAATTTATGAAATACTTGGAAACCAGTCTGTTTGTTTCGGTTTCGGTTTCGGTATCTGGCATGTAACACATTACGTGATATGATAGTTTCATCATGATAATAGGAAGAGAATAATGTCGACTAAATTATGCGTACTGATAATATATCAACTTGATCAATATCATGTTTCATTTGATATTTCTAACTTTTTTCAATTTATCAAGACTTTTGTTTCTCAATCAAAGAAAGATAACTCTTTCATTATTAATTCATAAACTATATTGTATTACCAGGGGTGTAACTTAAAAAGTGAATATTAATAGTTATCTCCCTATTGAACTACAAGTACAATCTTTGATTAACACATTTTCAATTATTTTACCGGATGTGGAGCGTCATTTAGTACGGAAGCCCATTGGTGCCAAATGGAATCTAAAAAAAATAAATGTATATGATGCCAGGTTGAGCCCATCTTTACAGATACAGATTCTTCAGATAACAACATCATACATGTGCATTGGTATGGCTGCTATGGCAACTATATGCATTTTTCAGAACTAACTTTACCACTGATATTTACTTCGGCCCCAGTCCCCATATATCAAACAGTACTGTTTAAATTTGATTTATTGTTGCTATTATTTAGTAAGAAAATAAGGCAAAAAGCATCTTATCCCATCTGGATTTATAACGTGCATCCCCTCTGGATTTGTAACGTGCATAATATGATGTATGATAATAAACTTTCAGACAATACATGACAGCCGTAATAGCTTCATTGGTAGCGTCGTCTGTCGTTTGATTTTGAGATCACGGGCTCCACTCCGCCCAGCAATAGCCACTATTTTGATGTTTTTCTGTTGACTGTATTCTTTGTCTTGACATTATTTATTTGTTGTCACTTGGATCAAAAGAATGCGTAGCGTCCATAGAAAAAAAGTCCGGGCTTACACATAAAACTATCTGTGTAAACCAAATGAACAAAAGATGGCATTATGCAGTCAAGATGATAACATTATTGTATTAAATCATTAAAATGTAACTAAATACGTATAATACTATGACATCCTTTCCAGATTCAATCTTCATTTATTACTTCCAATCCAGTTTTTCATGAGTTACATCAATTTACAAAATGAAGAAAGCAGCCAATACTTCACTAGTCAAAATAGTCAAAAACCCTATCATAAATTGTCTGTCTTGAACACAAAGCCATATTCTCTGGTAGAATATCAAGGTTAAATGTACCCTTTTTCATTGTCTGAAGGATGTTCCGTTGTACAAATTTTACGGCATAAAAAAGAGCTAATTTTATGAAATAAGGCCACCCCAAAACTGTCCTTATCTGGCCGTATAATGCACTAATGTAGGTAAAGTTAACCCGTGTCTAGAAATTTGAAATACATTTATCATATTTATATGGTGAATTGAGAATTATTTCCAAGTAAACCTCGTTGGAAGGGATTTATAATTCCACGGGGGGAAAAAAACCAACAACAAAACTGCATTGTTTTCTATATGTTTCTAAACGATCAACAGATACTTTGCTTGGTTAAGATAAAAACTCAAAATATTCGTCCATATTTTGTAAAGTGATGAAAACATATTTTGACCGTTCCTTCTAGTTTTTGCAAGATATATCGCATATATTGACATCTTCTTCAATTTAAACGGCCTATCTATGCTTACAAATAAAAATATTTTGCCATGGATGAATAGTCGTCAGTTACTTTCAAATATTTCATTATTTCAGAGTGGCCATGGAACCAGAATTAGTCGACTTTTTAGTGACTATAGACTGTAAAGATGCTATTCCCAAGATGGAAGAAGAAAAGGTATGTAAGAGTAATGATATGTACAGGTTAGGACTGTATGTACAAGACACGCGGGACTATAGGTTCATGTATAGGGGCCAAATTTACACATTAACGGACTATAGGTACACGTGAGGGAAACATGTACACGTGTAGTGCCTGAGGGACTATATAAACAGGTGTAGTTCAACATATACACGTGTACTGGCAATGGGTGCAAGTGTTTGGAATAAATTTACATTTGCATGGCATTGTCACTATATAGGCTATTTGAGAGCTNTACATATACACGTGTACTGGCAATGGGTGCAAGTGTTTGGAATATATTTACATTTGCATGGCATTGTCACTATATAGGCTATTTGAGAGCTGTGTCGTAGATGTGACTTTAATTACCATGCAACACGAGACATAATTATTTGCGTATAAATAACAACAGCTACAATATAAAATGTAAATAAATTTAAACATGACGGCTGCTGAAATATCGTTGGGCATTGTGATTAATGTGAGACATGGCAATGTATTGTGTGCAATATCGTAAAAAAAATGCACAGCCGTTATATAACCATTGCCGGCAATGCAAACGATTAGAACACTCGTGCAATTCATCAGAAATATCGTCTGACTTTGTTACACTGCACTGATAAACAAATGTCTAAAATACACATATGCTATAGACCCACTGACGCATATGCTATACAGTACACATAAACATACACAAGGTGTATTTTAGAAGTTTGTAACGAACCCCTGTGCTCCGTCGCAAGATCACTCACTTCAAACGCCATCAATATCGATATCACGCGTCTCGCAGCAACGGTTTTCTCAGTGTCTGACGACATGTCAAATAAAAAGTCTGTTGTAGAATCTACCGAATGTATTCGGAATACCATAGATCTACAATCTACATAAATTCGGTCTTTTCTCCCTGCTCATTTAACTTCCAAAAATAGCTCCCACGTGCACATGGATTCACGGTGTTCACTGTATTTATCCATGCGCGAAATTTGTTCTCGGGGAAAATCGAAACAATTTCAAGTCTAACTTTCACCTCATATTTCTTTCACTGTATAGACATATCATAGGCAATTGTACTTATACTGTATTGTTGAACAAAATTTAGATGTTTGTCAAAATTTTCAAAGTACTACTATGTTTGTCTGTCATTTTTTTTTTCAATTCACGTTTAAACATACTTTATTGCCAAAGAATGCAAAAGGATTGGACACAAGTAGCATGGACATTATTGACGCCCTTTCCCTTCCTTATTAGATAAGTAATTGTATGCAATATTATAGGATGGCTTTAATTATTAGAATAATTAAATATCTATTATTAAGATATATATATAGAGAGAGAGATTTTTTATGTATAAATTATAGTTTTGTTCCAGGGGCAGGGGTAGGGACTGCATGTACACGTTAAGTGACTAATATACGGGAGGGGCCTATATATACACGTATAGTGACTAATACACGGGAAGGGACTACATGTACACGTATATTAACTAATATAAGGGAAGGGACTACATTTACACGTTAAGTGACTAATACACGGGTAGGGACTACATGCACACGCGTAGTGACTAATACACGGGTAGGGACCACATATTCACGTGTAGTGACTTATACACGGGTAGGGACTACATGTACACATGTAGTGACTAATACACGGGTAGGGACTACATGTACACGTGTAGTGACTTATACACGGGTAGGGACTACATGTACACGTGTTGTGACTAATACAAGGGTGGGGACCACATGTACACGTATAGTGACTAATTCACGGGTAGGGACTACATGTACACGTATAATGACTAATACACGAGAAGGGACTACATGTACACGTGTTGTGACTAGTACAAGGGTGGGGACCACATGTACACGTATAGTGCCTAATACACGGGTAGGGACTAATACACGGGAAGGGACTACATGTACACGTGTAGTGACTAATACATGGGAAGGGACTATATGTACACGTGTAGTGACTAATACACGAGAAGGGACTACATGTACACGTGTTGTGACTAATACAAGGGTGGGGACCACATGTACACGTGTAGTGACTAATACACGGGTAGGGACTACCTGTACACGTGTAGTGACTAATACATGGGAAGGGACTACATGTACAGGTATAGTGACTAATACACGGGAAGGGACTACATGTGCACGTATAGTGACTTATACACGGGTAGGGACTACATGTACACGTGTAGTGACTAATACGTGGGAAGGGACTACATGTACACGTGTAGTGACTAATACACGAGAAGGGACTACATGTACACGTGTTGTGACTAGTACAAGGGTGGGGACCACATGTACACGTATAGTGCCTAATACACGGGTAGGGACTAATACACGGGAAGGGACTACATGTACACGTATAGTGACTAATACACGGGAAGGGTCTACATGTAGACATGTAGTGACTAATACACGGGTAGGGACCACATGTACACGCGTAGTGACTAATACAAGGGTAGGGACTACATGTACACGTGTAGTGACTAATACACGAGAAGGGACAACATGAACACGTGTTGTGACTAATACAAGGGTGGGGACCACATGTACACGTATAGTGCCTAATACACGGGTAGGGACTAATACACGGGAAGGGACTACATGTACACGCGTAGTGACTAATACAAGGGTAGGGACTACATGTACACGTGTAGTGACTAATACGTGGGAAGGGACTACATGTACACGTGTAGTGACTAATACGTGGGAAGGGACTACATGTACACGTGTAGTGACTAATACGTGGGAAGGGACTACATGTACACGTGTAGTGACTAATACGTGGGAAGGGACTACATGTACACGTGTAGTGACTAATACAAGGGTGGGGACCACATGTACACGTATAGTGACTACTACACGGGTAGGGACTACTGCACGGGAAGGGACTACATGTACACGTGTAGTGAATAATACATGGGAAGGGACTATATGTACACGTGTAGTGACTAATACACGAGAAGGGACAACATGAACACGTGTTGTGACTAATACAAGGGTGGGGACCACATGTACACGTGTAGTGACTAATACACGGGTAGGGACTACATGTACAGGTATAGTGACTAATACACGGGAAGGGACTACATGTACACGTGTTGTGACTAATACAAGAGTGGGGACTACATGTACACGTGTTGTGACTAATACAAGGGTGGGGACCACATGTACACGTATAGTGACTAATATACGGGTAGGGACTACATGTACACGCGTAGTGGCTAATACAAGGGTAGGGACTACATGTACACGTGTAGTGACTTATAAACGGGTAGGGACGACATGTACACGTGTAGTGACTAATACACGGGAAGGGACTACATGAACACGTGTTGTGACTAATACACGGGAAGGGACTACATGTACCCGTGTAGTGACTCATACACGGGTAGGGACTACATGTACACGTGTAGTGACTTATAAACGGGTAGGGACGACATGTACACGTGTAGTGACTAATACACGGGTAGGGACTACATGTACACGTATAGTGACTAATACACGGGTAGGGACTACATGAACACGTGTTGTGACTAATACACGGGAAGGGACTACATGTACACGTGTAGTGACTCATACATGGGTGGGGACCACATGTACACGTACAGTGACTAATACAAGGGTAGGGACTACATGTAAACGTGTAGTGACTAATACACGTGTAGTGACTAATACAAGGGTAGGGACCACATGTACACGTATAGTGACTAATTCACGGGTAGGGACTAATACACGGGAAGGGACTACATGAACACGTGTTGTGACTAATACACGGGAAGGGACTACAAGTACACGTGTAGTGACTTATACACGGGTAGGGACTACATGAACACGTGTAGTGACTAATACACGGGAAGGGACTACAGGTACACGTGTAGTGACTAATACAAGGGTAGGGACTACATGTAAACGTGTAGTGACTAATACACGTGTAGTGACTAATACAAGGGTGCGGACCACATGTACACGGATAGTGACTAATACACGGGTAGGGACTAATACACGGGAAGGGACTACATGAACACGTGTAGTGACTAATACACGGGAAGGGACTACATGAACACGTGTTGTGACTAATACACGGGAAGGGACTACAAGTACACGTGTAGTGACTTATACACGGGTAGGGGCTACATGTACACGTGTAGTGACTAATATACGGGTAGGGACTACATGTACACGTATAGTGACTAATACATGGGAAGACTACAGGAACACGTGTTGTGACTAATACACGGGAAGGGACTACATGTACACGTATAGTGACTAATTCACGGGTAGGGACTAATACACGGGAAGGGACTACATGAACACGTGTAGTGACTAATACACGGGAAGGGACTACATGAACACGTGTTGTGACTAATACACGGGAAGGGACTACAGGTACACGTGTAGTGACTAATACAAGGGTGCGGACCACATGTACACGTATAGTGACTAATACCCGTGTAGGGACTAATACACGGGAAGGGACTACATGTACCCGTGTAGTGACTCATACACGGGTAGGGACTACATGTACACACGGGTAGGGACTACATGAACACGTATAGTGACTAATACACGGGTAGTGACTAATACACGGGTAGGGACTAATACACGGGAAGGGACTACATGTACACCCGTAGTGACTAATACACGGGAAGGGACTACATGAACACGTGTTGTGACTAATACACGGGAAGGGACTACAAGTACACGTGTAGTGACTTATACACGGGTAGGGGCTACATGTACACGTGTAGTGACTAATACACGTGTAGTGACTAATACAAGGGTGCGGACCACATGTACACGTATAGTGACTAATTCACGGGTAGGGACTAATACACGGGAAGGGACTACATGTACACGTGTAGTTACTAATACAAGGGTGGGGACCACATGTACGCGGATAGTGACTAATACACGGGTAGGGACTACCTGTACACGTGTAGTGACTAATACATGGGAAGGGACTACATGTACACGTATAGTGACTAATACACGGATCGGGACTACATGTTCACGTATAGTGACTAATACACGGGTAGGCACTACATGTACACGCGTAGTGACTAATACGCGGGTAGGGACTACATGTACACGTATATTGACTAATACACGGGAAGGGACTACATGAACACGTGTAGTGACTAATACACGGGAAGGGGCTACATGTACACGCGTAGTGACTAATACGCGGGTAGGGACTACATGTACACGTATAGTGACTAATACACCGGTAGGGACTACATGTTCACGTATAGTGACTAATACACGGGTAGGGACTAATACACGGGAAGGGACTACATGAACACGTGTAGTGACTAATACACGGGAAGGGACTACAGGTACACGTGTAGTGACTAATACAAGGGTAGGGACCACATGTGCACGTGTAGTGACTAATACACGGGAAGGGGCTACATGTACACGCGTAGTGACTAATACGCGGGTAGGGACTACATGTACACGTATAGCGACTAATACACGGGTAGGGACTACATGAACACGTATAGTGACTAATACACGGGTAGGGACCACATGTACATGTATAGTGACTAATACAACGGTGGGGACCACATGTACACGTATAGTGACTAATACACGGGTAGGGACCACATGTACATGTATAGTGACTAATACAACGGTGGGGACCACATGTACACGTATACTGACTAATACACGGGTAGGGACTACATGTACACGGGTAGTGACTAATACACGGGTAGGGACTACATGTACACGTGTTGTGACTAATACGCGGGTAGGGAACGTGTAGTGACTAATACACGGGTAGGGACTAATACGCGGGTAGGGACCACATGTACACGTATAGTGACTAATACATGGGAAGGGACTACATGTACACGTGTAGTGACTAATACACGGGTAGGGACTACATGTACACGTGTTGTGACTAATACGCGGGTAGGGACCACATGTACACGTATAGTGACTAATACATGGGAAGGGACTACATGTACACGTGTAGTGAGTAATATACGGGTAGGGACTACATGTACACGTATAGTGACTAATACACGGGCAGGGACTACATGTACACGTGTAGGTACTAATACACGGGAAGGGACTACATGGACACGTGATGTGACTAATACACGGGGTGGGACCACATGTACACGTATAGTGAATAATACACGGGTAGGGACCACATGTACAGGTATATTGACTAATACACGGGAAGGGACTACATGGACACGTGATGTGACTAATACACGGGGTGGGACCACATGTACACGTATAGTGACTAATACACGGGTATGGACAACATGTACACGTATTGTGACTAATACACGGGTATGGACCACATGTACACGTGTAGCTACTAATACACGGGAAGGGACTACATGTATGTACACGAGTGACTGAAGGTGTAGTGAATATAAATACCCATGAATGGATTTAATGTACACTTGGATAGAACTGAAAAGAATATATTGATTTGAATGAAGATGTGATTGATTTATCTGAAAGAAATATTTTTGTAACTCATATAAGAAATGAGAATTTGGGCGACAGATGACAATATGGTTTTCTGGAATAGCAACGATGATAAACGACAAAAAGGTAAATTAAGAAATGTTTAATTCACAAAATATACTCAGTGTAACATCAAGGCCATCATTGGAAATAACAGCTTATGTAAAACACAAATGTTTAATGTGATTCAGTAAATAAACCTTATGCATCATATTGACAGATATTTTGGCATAAACAACGGGGGAAACCCCTATTTATATTATTTTGATTTTCTTTAAAGTATAGACCTTTATGATTCGATTGCTTTCACATTTTTCCTTAACACAAAATTTACACATATATTTAGTACATTTGTTTCAGTTGTCATTACTGGTGATTAATCAGATGAAAGAGTCTGACTTGGCGCCATTCATTCGCCGATATGGAGACAGGGCTAGATTTAAACTGTTTATGGAAGAGGAGTTGAAGAAAAAGAGAAAAGCAAGCCAAGGATCTCCTGGTAACTGTAGATCCACTCTTGTCAAGAGTTTACGTGCTAAGTTGGGCATCTCTAAAGACAAAGAAACAAAAGCCACACAATGATACGCCATCATCTAGTGACGATAGTGATACCGTACTTCCAAAACTAAAATGACGTAAGAAAGGAATGGCGAGAAAAGGCAATAAGAATGCACTTCGAGACAAACGGAAGCTTGAACTTGAGGCTGGATCCATCAAGGGAAACAGGTGAGGACAGCCAAGGATGGAGGAACTCGGAAAGTGGAACTTCTCTGAAGAAGTAAGACAGAAGATATACTTGCGGATGCATTTCCCAATAATATGTCCGCAATGGGTCGACTCAGCGAGTTTGATTAAACACTTACAGATTCCTCCCGACGTGAAATTGGCGAGGAAACCCTTGATGAATTATATGATGTCTGTAAGATTCCTTTGATAATATTGTACTTGATAATGAATTCAAAAATGCCAAAAACAAACGACAGTCCTCCCACTGACGAACAGGATACGGTAAGTGATGTTTTGTACGATTGATAAATTATACTGATAATATTTCAACTTGATAAAATGTGTACCTTTCACACTAGGGCAGACATCAATATCCATTTTTGGATTTAACCAATGACAAAACAGATTGCAACGCCAATAAAAATGGCAAGAATCATACAATGTACATAAGTAGATGTATCACTTGCACCCGCATTCAACATGATATTAAATATGTCAAGCATCGTAATTTCAAGCCAAAATTCGGAATTCTTCATGTTATAACAGGGTTTGCAATGTATCAACATGGAAGAATAAAAGGCATTGTTACCGTTAAAAAAACGTGAAATTTACGTACATTTGCAATTTGTGCAGATACGTTATGAAAAATGTTTGTTAAACGGAACAGGGAATTTGTTTGTTGGGACAAAATAAACCAATAACATGATTTAGTGTTTTTAGTTTTTTTTCCATTTTTTTTTTACATTCCAAAGTATTGCATAATACTGTAATTGTGACCGAAGCCATTGCAGAAGGAACCGTAACTAGTAACTTCAACCGCATTCCGAATAAAGTCAGTGTAAATCGGAGAATGGGAATACACCTATCATTCCTCGATTTCCAACAACCAGAAGCCAGTATACGGCGGCGATTTTGTCAAAACGGAAAACGGATGTGGCAGTTGAGTGCGTTGTTGGACGCTCACTGTCCTGTAGATTTTTTTTCTCGAGAAGCAAAGCAACGGACAGGACTGTGCTGTAATGGTTATGTCCTTGTGCAAACCTTGTACCTGTCGTATACCACCCTGATTGCTCTGGATGGTATACGACAGGTCTCCCGTATATCGATCAGTGAGGTAGCTACAAGCTACTATACAGGAAGAACCTGCCTCAAAATGGCCCAGGCTATTCATAGGGCGGCAAACCCAACAAACAAATAATCGTAGGGTAAAAATACACTTTAACAGTTTTAATGTTTTAATGCAATGGGTCAGTATCCTCATTTCAACCCATGAGATAACATTATTGGGCAGTTATCTTTTTTTTTAAAAGGAAGCGAATGCCGCGGTTGAGTTCGTAGTGCAAAATTGCGTCTACATAGCAAAGAAATCTGATTGAAATCGGACAATATCTGATTTCTTATTAATAAGAACCAAGCATACGGCGCCATTTTGTCAAATGAGAAAATAGATGTCACGGAAGAGTTTGCAGTTCAAAAATACACCAACATTTCAAATTTGAGCGAGATTAAACAATATCTTATTTCGACCAATCGGAAGCCAGTGTTTGGCGGTCATGCTTTTGTTTGTTTTGTTTTTGTTTGCCAGATTCCGTCAAAACATTGACGTTGAACCTGATCATGGCAATGGCCATTGCCTAAATCCGTTGTAGCCGACAGAGTAACTAATCAAGGCGCTTGAATTATAAATGTTCGGTATTTTCCCTGATTTTTTATGTCATATAGTCCTACATCATAACCAAGTTCCTGCCGACAAATCGATGCATATGCACATTTGACGTTGCACAACAACCAACATTATACCTTTGGTATATATAGAAAATGTAATAAAAGTAAAATGTAATGACTTCCCGTTAACTATAGTTAATATATCACAAGCACAACAGAATATCCAATATTTCCATGTATGCGTACCAGTGAAAATATTCAAGTATTCTGCCAAATCGTAAAATATAAACAATGTAAATAAAGTTCAGGTGCTGACCAGAAATTAATTTATTATGCAATTGCTATCTTATTTTGATAAAGATCAGTATTGGTTATTAAAATGTAGAAAAGTACATTACTCTGGTGCATTGTTGCGTGCAAGACGATTACAGGTATGACAGATATATTCAAATATCTATTTTTAGTGTAGTACCGTGTGAGTGTGCATGTTTCGGGGTATCAAGTGGCCGCGGGGGCCATTTATGTCTAACAGACATTTTCTAATATTTTTTTTTATTTTTTTTGTAAAAGTATGATATTATTTGTTTCAAAGTCACTTTTAAGCTTGAGTCTCTGACATCGTTGCCCTCACCACAGACTGCATTGTCATATTCATCTATTTTCCAGCCAACATCGCCAGATGCATCTACTTCCTAACCAATATTGCTGAATGTACCACATACATTGCAAGTAAGAATCTAATCTAACCAATGGATGCTGCCTATTTAACTGGCAACGAAAGTGTATGTCGGATTGCTTACTGCGTTTTGTATTGTCTTTAAAATCGTATTCAATTTAACGAAATCTTTGTTCTGTCGTTGATAATTTTAAAACCCTAATCGAAGATGCCAGATTTCGATGAATATTGCCTATCATACACGTGTACTAATTACCCATGTTCTTTGCTAGATTAACATTTTGCCAGTGATGTGCATATTTGTTGAGTCTGCTTTAATCAGATTAACTGAAGAACTGTTTAAGTGAAACTTGCCTTATTTTAAGCCCATTATCTGAAGATGGTGGGCTATTCAAATCAACCTTCGTCCTTGGTCCATCGTCATTCCGCCCGTTTGTCGACTGTCCATAATCAATCTTTGTTATCGCTATTTCTCAGAAATCATTTTGATTGATCTATCTAAACTTTACATGTAGATCCCACTTAGTCACACACGGCCATTTTGAATTTTGGCATTAGACGTTTGTTATCGCTATTTCTCATAAAGTTCTTATGGATCTTTTTCAAAGATTATATGAAGGTTCCCCTGTGTCCCAATTCGTGCATGTTGTATTTTGTGACTGATCGAAGAAGAAGATGGGGTACAGGCGCCCATTTTTACTTTTGACAGTTGAAGTGTGTTATCACCATTCCTCTAGATTCTTCTTAGGTCTTTCTTAGATTTATATGAAAGTTTTCCTTGTGATCAGATTATCAGGAGGAAATGAGGAAAGACGTAAAAGAAGATAAACGACCAGTCTTACATAGAACCAATAAATACCATTCAATAAGCGACGCCAATATCTCTGTGGGATCTCTAGTTAAAGAATTGATATCATTATAGTATGTTTTTGGTGACGTAAGGTTCTTTGTCTATAGCATACGAAATAACGCCATATTGCTCAACTCGAGAAAAGCAAATAATTTGAATTCTTTAACTATTAACTTTGCATATCATGCAGGATGTCACAACAAGGATTATTTGTACAGAATTCGGACGGACCTCCACAACCAATTTCTGTTTGCACTGCGAGCAGGACCGAGCGTTCCACGCATCTCTCACTGCCGACCAGTTACGTATACACAATACGGATATTCAACCTCGATACTCCAGGGGTTACGATCACGTTCCTCGGTTATTCAACCAACGAATTTGATTTTTTTTTCTATTCATATATAAAGGTTCGTGTTATTTGAGGAAATTTTGAAACATAAATATATGAAACTGATCAACAGCCAAATAGATTAGCATCAAGTCAAGTGCCAGGACTGTTTTAAATAATTAATATTTTATGAAAATAAAATGGTAGCAGTAGTGCTCAGGCAGTTGAGGTTATGTTCTCTGACTGCCTCTGCTGCTAGGAAGGGATATGAAAGGGCGTTGCCACACCAAATGAGAAGATTCCATGTCTCCATGACGACCGTTGTTTTCAACAACATCAGGGTAGTTCTTCAGAAACATCGACGACTTCGTTTTTTTTGTCTGTGAAATATTTAGACGGTTTTTTTTCTTCTTTGACCAACAGTACCACTGATAAGTACCGAATGGACGATGTGGCCATATGGTGTAATTTTTGGTTTCTGCATTGATTTGTTGATTTATTGTTTGTAGAGTGCTTTTTATCTTCATACTTCTAGTACATTTGTAAATCTTTTCTGAGATGTTAATCACGAGATTAATTTGTACAGCGAATGCCTGCTAATGCTCCATTTTCCGGAATGGATTATATATTTACTGGGCGGGTATCTTTGATAAGACAGAAGACGCTTACTCTACCGAAGCACCTGGGCTATTCCCCATGTAATGTTTCAATAGTTACCGTGTAAATATTCATGAATTTCAAATTTGACATTGTTTCATCACATTTTTCTATGGATTATGATTGTGGTGACGATTAGGTATTTTATATTCCACATGCATTTACATTTACATTTTAAATTACAGAATAGACACATGGGTTTACATCCAGAAACAAGTAAAGATTTGGACTTCCTGGCAGACATTAACTTCGACGATTTTGAGCATGAAGAAACAGTACACACAGTTGAGGTAATTTTGCTATAAACTATTTCTGTAAAATATTGATTGATTTTTATTTCTCTGAATACCGAAGGAAATAAAGTCTCACAAGGATAAATTCAACATAGTTAGACGTCATCGATACATGCTATATTTGTTTTACTTTTGTCTTTTTTTTTGTCAAACGTGAAATGCTTACGTTATTTTTTTGTGAAAAGATCAGAAAAAAATATTTTCTTGTGAACAAATTTTGTTTTCGTTCCTATAACTGACTTTAATATTTCTATATTTATATTTGTCACCAATTGACATGGTAATAAAACAAAAGCTTTGCATTCCTCATTTATGAGAAAGTTTCATGACATGATTTTTCATGTCAAATCCACGTATAATTTCACATGTGATTTTCAATTAATGAAAACCTCAGTATATTCGCGTAAAGACACTTTTCTTGTGCATGTATGTATTCCTGCCAGTTAAGATTTATATTTTTTACTATAATGTATATACGTGTTATAGGATGTTAGAAGACAAAGACTTCTCTTGTTTGACAGCCAAGAGAATAACGAGCAACAAGAGGTAAGATATAATCTTCAACTATCAATAAATCCGGGAATATACCTTGCTAGGCGACAGGCGGCCATTTTGAATTTTGACAATCGAAGAGTTTGTTATGTTATTTCTCAGAAAGTTCTTCATGGATCCTTCTTAGATTTGTTGTGAAGCTTCCTCTTAATCTCAAATGATTAAGAGGAAGAAGTGAAAAGTAGATCATTCTTACAGAGATCCAATACAGACAGTTTCGACCTAGATGCCCTCATGTATTGGGAGAGGAAGCATCGTCTTTTATTATAGCCATTGTTAATCAAGTCAGCGTTTATCAATTAACTGAAAGTTATATACAATCATTGATTCAAACAAAGAAACTGCATACTTTTGAAATTCTGCAGGTGCTGTGTAACGTCTGCAGTAGTTCTTTACAATTTGTATGTGTTTGTGCAGTTCTGAGACGCTCACTTCACTACTGACCATTCTAAAAAGCAAGATAGATTTGGGAGCAAAACGGAACATTGTAAAGTGGTCAGGGAGGACGTCTTGGATGGAGGAATGAGGGCATTTCGCCGCAAGACATTCCAGGAATGGGCTCCGCTCTCAGTTGTGTTTGCCTCGGAACAGGGGATAGATAATGGTGGACCTTCGAGAGAACTTCTATTACTTTCCTCTAAGTCCATTAGAGATCTAAACATATTTGAAGGAGATTCCAATGCCCGTATGGCTGCGCTGGACTACATAGGTACAAATATTTATGTATATTAATCGAATCAAATTATTATGCATGTTAGTTCAAAGATAGAAAATAGCTACATAAAAAACCAAGAACTCTATACATTTACTGCAACATATAGCCATTTCGGACACATGAGTTGTACTAGGATTTAAAAAAAATGAGAATACACTCCCAAATCGTTTCAAAATATTTAAAGAAAATATTTCACAGTAAAAGAAAGACGAGGATAAAAGAACACTTATAAACAGATGTTCAATGAAATCGGGTGCGTTATGCTGACAAATGTTGCTTTATTTTTTATTCGACTAATTGATACATTTTTTTTAGCTCTTGAAAATGATTTGTATAAAACCGCTGGAAGCATGTTTGCCTATAGCATTGCCCATGGAGGTCCTATTCCAGCATTCCTCAGCCCTGTACTATATGATGCAATATCGAAGGGCGTCGACAAAACGAAACCGACAAATGGCGACATTGTGGACTATGAAGCGCTGAGTCAAATACAGGCAGTATGTCGAATTCAATATGCATTATTTTTTGCTTTCCTGGTCAAAAGGACCGGTGGGCTTATGTCATGGTGCAGCGTCCGTCGTCATTCAACTGTACACTACTAGTCATGAACCAATAACCAGATTTCAACCAAATTTATTGTGGAGCATCCTTGGGTGAAGGGGAACCAATCTTGTATAAACGGCGGGTCTAAACAGGGGAAATATAGCTAATTCTTTATAATCCTCCTTCTGTAGAAACATAGAGTGTTTCCGAATATTTTCAGCTATATGCAGGTGAGCGATACCGGCTCTCTGGGCCTCTTGCATTTAAAAAGATTCTGAAATGCTAAGATGTTTTTCAATCGAAAATGTCTTTTTTGTTTATAGCCGTATAACATCACAATTACATAACCAGTTACAGGCACCCATCAAAGATAAAATAAGATACATAGTTTAGTAAAATGAAATATAGAATTAATGAAGATGGACATTATCATTTGATACGTATATATTATCCTTTTCTGCTTTGCATGTTATTCTGACACTTCAGCCACCATTTCTTCAAGCAGGACATCATTTTTATGCATGTATGATGTGATTTAAGTGTAAGTTAATATTTTTTAGACATTTTAGTCTGATATTCCTAACGTTCTTTTCGTATCATTTAATGTACATATCAGATTCAGGAAAGCCAAGATGAAGTGGCCTTTCAACATGCCGTGGATAGTGTGGAGGATATTATCTCTTTAGCCGGCTGTGTATCATTGGCAACAAAGTACAGCAACGAAGAAGGACTGGTAAAAAAACATTTGCCACTTCTTGGCTCTTGGCAGAGTTTACCAAGGTCTGGAGCAGTAAGTAATGCTGATTATTTGTTAGTTGACACGTTTGATCATAAATGGACAATGCTTGTTTGTGTTTGTTGTACGTCCCAGCAACAGGTTCGGTGCTTCACCTGTCGCCTTTAGCATTTTAGCTAACCTGGCCCCAGGAGCCGATACACTTATGTCATGGCATAGCGTTCGTCGTCCGTCAACATTTCCTTTAAATCACTTCTAGCCCTGAACGCGTGAATTGATTTTGATTAAATTTGGTCTGGAGAAGGGAATCCAATGTTATAAAAACGGAGATTGTTGCTCCCAAGGGGCCAGATAAGCGGGGCCAAATAGGTAAAATTGGGGTAAATCCATTAAATATGCAGGCCCTCCAGGCCTCTCGTTCTACAGCCACGCCAGGGATTCATAGAATATATACAATATTTTCTATATGATATACACTGCATTTCGGTTTATATATGTAAAGGTATGAGCGTTAGCCACCATCATCGATTTTTAATCCTTTTGTTTGTTAACGATGTCAAATAGGAAATTCCATGATACTATGGAATATGCCATAAATGCTTCATACCTTTTAAAGCCTGTTAATTTTCAGATTTAAAACTGATTTACAGACATGTGAAATACTACAGAGCCTGCAAAAGCATCCAGACCTTTTTCAGCAGGTGTTTGTAAAATCACCAGATGACTCCATTGTAGATGCTAACACATTTGGAGCGTACTTTCATATACATGAATCATCTTGGTCTTTTTCCGGACACCATCGCCGTGCCATGGAGGAAAAGACACTTGCCTACTGGAGAGATTTTTTTACAGGATCTTGAAGGTAAAACAATCAAACTTATTATTTGTAACCATAGCCCCCTATCTGCCTTATGTTGATAAAAGTTCAGAAAAGATATCAGACTAATATATCTCTTCAATCTTATCATATATGTCTGCCTTTTATACACCTTCTACTGTAATAACTCTTATTTTACTTTACAGAAGAAGGAAAACTCGGTCTCTTGTTGAGATTTGTAACAGGGCTGGAAGTAATGCCACCACTTGGAATTGACCCAACGCCAAGTTTGACTTTCGGCCATGCTGATGACCTTGAAGGCGATCACACTGCGAATTTTCTTATGGCCAACACTTGCGCGAATATTTTGAGAATTCCAGTTTTGAACACGTATGAACTGTTTCGCAAAAACGGCCTGTCTGTTATAGAGATGGTGAATGTATTCACCACAGAGTGAATTTGTCGAAAACAGCAGCATGTCAAAGACATTTACTATTATTATTATGTAAGCATCGTTATATATTATGTTTATTTGAAGTTGCTATATATCAAATAGATAAAGCAACCAAAAGATCCAATGTCAAGTTCTTAGCTATAGCTAGTAGCATAGCATATGTTAAAAAATTCGGTTACAATAAGTCAAATGTTCTTGACATTTCAAGTTTAACATATCATGTCAATATCTGCGGTGATGATGATGTGGCCCTAGTAGGTACGGGGGTCACTTGTGGAAGAAGATATACTGAACGAAGAGGTACAGAAGTGTAGGTGTAAACATATATACATCTATGTTATGTTGTGTGATTGCAAAGTTCATTAACTATTTCTCGTAATATCTGTTATCTGATGATCGTGTTGAATAACCTTTTCCTTATATACGTTTATGTTTATGATTTATTTGTTCGTTTTGTCCATGTCATATAATGGGAAAACAGGAGCTTACAATACTGCTTTTTAACAACTAATATGCAAAAATGTGCAACATTGTCTTCTGAACTTTGTACACGATTTGCAATTTTGAACCAAATAACATACTTATGTTTCCCCTATTGCATCCATTACGGTTAACAGTGCTCCTGATACTGTCAGCTGTCGTTAGTAAAATATGAGACAATTAATATATTTAGACAATGTGTACAACTTCATTATTTTGTTGCACAAACGTTCAAAAGGACGAACAGCTGCTAATATAAATGTACAGAAAATTAGAACCGTATATTATAGTTTTTATTTGTATAGTACCTCTTGATTGATAAGTTATAGAGGAGTTTTGATTTTAATTCCCATACACACAAATACAAGAGTGTATGTTGAATGTGAACTTTAAATTAATACAAGAAATTAAGACACATACGTGAGTTGAGCAATTTACACGGGTTCAATTTATAGAAATATGACAAGTTTAAAACATGGTAAAAATATAATACAATCACATACCGAGTAGACATAAGTTTTATCTGTTTTGGGGATGAAAGTCCATGCAATAGCCAGGATCATATGAGGACGGGATAGGCACCAGTGTGCATCTCGAAAAAAACATGTAAAAACTATTCTCACCCCTTGCCGGGTAATTCAAATGACAACGTACTTCAACTTGCTAAAGAGTTCACTCCCCTCCCCCTCTCAAAGAGAACTGTACGCTAACACAGAATCAATTCAATGATTTAATGTTTTTCTTTGAAGCCCGGTGATAACTTGAAAAAAAATGTTGTTGTTTTTTTAAATCATCGTAATGACAATCGTCCTGTAATATGGAAGCATCGGTCACATCATTTAATATTATTTGTTACACATAATTTCTAAAACAACCATTGCAAATTGTTTTCTCCAATACTCCCTGCATTCTTTCCCATGCTTTCTCATCAGGACAAATAATGTGAAAACTTGATTACACTGTTAGTATCAAACGTCTACATTTCAGTCTCTTAAGCAAATATGTCATGGAGAAGAATGAACGAAAGACCTCTTCAAACGGATAAGGTGAATGGAGATTTTAGGACATACACCAGAAAAAATATTTTACAATTTGCACAACACCCTCGAAGCAAAGTTTAGTCATATAGGTCAATATAATTTGCAAAATTGGTAAGCGATTGCAAAGTTAACCTTCGCAATGTTTTATAAAGAGATAGGGCTTTGTCAATGTCCATTGTAAAATCCAAACTGTTTTCTTCCATTATTATCAATAGGATATCATGTATATCGGAATCAGATGGCTTATTTTGGAACAATAGGCATTCATCTTGGCAGACACTTGTTTTGATAGGATCCACCTCAACGCTATAATCATCTGCTCCGTACAAGTAAGGTATCGTGTAAAGTATGCATGGTCGGCCACTGGGCACATTCTGGTTAATTGACGGACGAATTCTGTGCGTATTCCATGCCGTGACAGCCTCGTCTATGTCCCTCTGCAATTAAATTAGTATGAGTTTATCGTGACATTCACCTTCACGTCAAGGAAGACAACAACATTTAAGTGATATTATGGAAACACATGGTCAATATGCTATCAATTTCAGAGGCTGATACCAAGCTTTTGTCTGTCAGAATAAAGGCTAATCAGACAATGTGTAATTATACTTATATTTGTTCTGCGTTGCTACTTGATAACACTACCGAAATCAGTCTTGTAGTTGAATGAAATTATTCTGGTACGATTTACATGAAACAACAGCTTTACTAATGAATCATTTGCTGTAGGCAAAAGTTGTAAAAGCGTTTGCACCTTTCCCGTTCAACTGAAATTGTACATGTTTCTAATCATTATATATGGATTTACATTCATTTGACCTTTTGTCCCACAGACCGACTCTTAAATGGACAAGATGGTCAATTAGTGCAATTTCAAATAATCTGTTTCCTGATTCGGGTCTCGTCATCAGTAAACATTTCGGATCGGAGTATCGAACCCTATTGTAGCCTATATCTCACCAAAATTAGTACATTAAATAACGTTGTACATCCTTCCAGCCAATTTTGTACAAAATGCAGAGCTAACATCTTGATCCGTACAACTGTTTTATTTTCAACAAATGTGCCCATGGTGTTGTTCGGTTATTCACACACTGATCTTTTTACAGAGTTATTAGTTCATAACAGACTTGTTTGGAACTTATCCATTCCGAAGTTTATACAAAAATAAACCAGATAGTTGCATTAATCATCGGCTAATTAATAAGTATACACTTACCTGAACAATTGGCATGAATATGAGCTGAATTAGGTTTAAATCGAGAATACTGCCATCGAAATGAGTGCCTGTTTCCTTCAAGACTCCGAAAACCTCAATCCAAAACTGGCAGCAACCATTCCGCAGCTGTCTCCAAAAACTCTCAATGCGCTGATTCCCAGTACTTGGGCCATAAATGAACGAGTTTTGGCCAGTCAAAAAGTTTTGCATTTCAGCAACGCGCTTATTTTCTGTTCCTCGATCACCTCTTACCTTCTTTGGGCATTTATTCCGATTCTGAATTGCATGTATGTAATGTCCTGCGATAATACGTGGATTGCTGGTAGAACAGGTGATTTTGCACCAAACATTTTTTTCTAGAAACCATCTATGCATCCATTTATGCACAAACCATATGGCTTAAGTTTATCATAGGAGTCAATGTGCCATAAGAAATTTGGCCCTTTAGAAAAATACCTCGGTCTTCGCAGCCTTTTTTTCTTTCTTAGTTCACATCCTCGAGGATCCAAAATGGAGAGTAGCGACGCTACGTCTGATCTGGACACTCGAAATCCTGCTAGTAAGCACCTCCGGTGCATCAGTCTATACCCGATTTAACAGCTTGACTGACTTAATTGCTCCGTTATATACAACGCGACATCAGCCATATCTGAAGTGTTCCGTTTCCTATATAGGTTCATTTCCGATAACCTTCTTTTTAAGGTTCGAATACAATATGAAGATTAAATGCTAAACAACACATTATTTTCGAATACGCTAATCCCGAATTAAAGTAGAACTTGATAAGTTTCCTCATCTTTGACTTTTGCGAGTACGTGCCGCATCAGACATCAAACACTGCCAATGCTCCTATGGATTTCAAAAATAAAACGTATTGCGTATATTCGCAATACTTATTGCGTATATTCGCAATACTTATTGCGTATATTCACAAAAGTATTGCGTATATTCGCAAAAGTATTGCGCATATTCGCAAAAGTATTGCGTATATTCGCAGAAGTATTGCGTATATTCGCAATATATATATATTTTTTTTTTAGATTCCATTTGGCACCAATTGGCTTCCGACATCAAACACTGCCAATGCTCCTATGGATTTCAAAAATAAAACGTATTGCGTATATTCGCAATACTTATTGCGTATATTCACAAAAGTATTGCATATATTCGCAATACTTTTTGCGTATATTCACAAAAGTATTGAGTATATTCGCAAAAGTATTGCGTATATTCGCAATACTTAGTGCGTATAATAACAGAAGCAGTGCATATATTCGCAATACTTTTTGCTTATATTCGCAAAAGTATTGCGTATATTCGCAGAAGTATCTATTCATAAAATTATACAATGCACTATTTATTTGTAAAATTATACAATACTCCATCTATTGGCAACACGATATTTACAATACCCCTACTAGTAATGTTATAATACAATATATATCATCAATCAGTTTACCTGTACCATAACATACCACCTACTAGTGAGTTTTGTTTATAATATAACATTTGATTGTCAATTAATTAATAGAGTTTATTATATATAGGTGTGTGGGATATTGATATCCTACCTATCTATATCCCTCATACCCACATAATAATTGCCGCTTTTTCTTCCACGTTCTAACCGAAACTTTGGCAAAACTGTACATAGAAAACACTAAATATGGCAAAGTTACAAAATAACGATTACACAAACTGTATTTGGAAAGAGCAGAAAAAGTACGGTATACCGTATGTATACCATTAAAACATCCGTGGAATGACATACAGGGCAAGCCTTTACACAAAATATTATGTCTTGAGGGTGTTGTCACTTGCAGACGGCAGGATTGCCAGTCAGTCAAACGTTATTTTGACGCACTTTCAATTGTGACGTCATAACAACATCCCGTTATCTGATTGTGACGTCATAAAAGTACATGTCAGTGAGTGCACCCATGCATTGGGATGTTCCATGTGATGCACGTGTGTCTTTCATACGCAGAGGTGGGAGAAGAATACAATGTACCATCAACTGGCAAAACGATATGACAATGTTATACCTAGTACTAGTAAAGTAAAGTAGTAAACAATGTATAATCTGCAAGTAGAATTAAACAATATACCAACTACTGTTATAATTGTTCTATAATATACTCCCCATGCTAGTGAAATAATGCTACAATAAACAATCACATACATTTACATTTGTAGTAATAAGCCACGCGTAGCAATATATATTTTATTTTTTAGTTTTGTCCTCTTGTTCAATATGAATCAACTTCATCAGTTGTTTATGCTCATGCAAACTTCCTTGTCCAAACGCCGTCTTTCCCTATATGATGAGCATGGCTACCAATCAATGTCTGCATCAGTTAAGACTCACATCAGCAGGCATCTGCCACTTGTGTCTTCATCATACAGAGTGCAGAGTTTTCCAAAGGAATCGATGTTCTGATGGTTACCAAGGTAACTACTTTCGGTGAACAAGCCGTATAAATCGGCTTTCATCCCCCTTAGTGAAAGTATGGCCTGTGCAAAGTGGTCATGAGGAATGTTTCTAAACAAGTTGAAACGTCTCTGGTTGGCGTTGGCTGATAATTTCGGAAACATGCTGGAAATGTAAGGATTTCCGTAGAAATAATGTGGCAAGAACTCCATTTCAAGACCTATCTCCAGGAACGCAATTAGGTAGCCCAAAGCCTCCTTGACGCCAGAAGCGTGCAGCTGAAGAAGAATACAGTGGATCGCGAGGTTCTTGATGTGGTATGATGTTAGAAGACTACCTAGTTGTGAGGAGTTTCCCAAGCCGTCTAAGTATGCCTTTAATACCCTACAAGCTGTCAGGATGTAGACATCACTGTGGTTCCTACTACTGACATCGAGTATATGCTTCTCGTACCCGCATGAGCTCTCCCTCCAAAGCAGATTCGGCTCAGGATATTTATCTGCGTAACGTCCTTTGTGGATCCACTTTATGACGGCATATCTTTCACATGTCATTGAAAACCACCAGCTGTCTGGATTAGGGACAGAATCGGTTTGTAGCAGCAGCCCCGGCACAATATCGAATTCAATTACTTTGTACGTGGCGTTCCAGACTCGAGTTGCAGCTGCAGCGATGCGACCTTCACGACGAGAGAATAATTTTTTACCATATGAGAGTTCATCAAAATCAGCATCACTTTTAATTTTTATTCTGAATCTAAACGTGGGAGGAAACACGCTGGTTTTACTGAGAGTAAAAGAGCAAGCTTGATTCCTGTTCTTTGCGTCGATTTTTTTCTGTATCTCTGCTATGGTGGTTTCCATGATGGATGATATAACCCGCGTCTGGAAGCACATTGCGTTAAGAAATAGATCAGAGCCACACTTTTCAAAAACGCCGTTCTTTCTTAGCGATTGGTACAGGATTCCATTCTTGACATTCTGAATCTGTGCGTAATCTGAAATCTGTAGTTTCATGTGTGCCGGAATAAGCTCTCCGTTTTTATCGAGAGCTGGAACAGCGTGTAAATCAACTCCTTCAATGGTGAATGGAAGAATCAGATCAAACTCGTCGGGTTGTCCAATTTTCAAACCCTCCCGAGAGCTACCCTGCTTCACAAAATCTCCAAAAATGATGCAAGGATAGTACCTTGAAGTTTTTTTCTTCAGTGTAACATGAAAGAATCGCGTTATTTCATCTACAACCCCGCAGGATTTCTGCCAAAGCCCGTCGGATATATCGTATTCTCCTATGTAAACGTTCTCTCGAAGGTGTTCAGCAAGTATGCCTTCATTTCGAGCAAATTTCGAAACAGGTTTTCGCCAGCCATTGAAATTGCTTCCTACCTGTCCGTAGTCTTGTTTGGTGATGCGAATTCGATCTTGTCTCCATATAATCTTAATTTTTCTATCTAATTTAGATACGTCTGAACCATCTACTGCATCTATGCTGGTACCATCAGACCATATTGAGCCCATCGTCACTTTCGTTTTTTCCTGTTCCAATGAAGTGGCAGATGCTGAAAGAAGTTAAACCCAAAAAATAAAATAAAATGGGTTTTCATAATATTCAAAAAGTTACTTCATAATTCAGATTTTCTGGGGACACTTATCAGAGATCAGATACAAAGACAAAGCAGCTCTCTTGAAACTGCAGAAATACAATCGGGACACTTCAATACATTTTTTCCGCCTTGTACTTCATTTTATCTATGACGTCCTAGTATCAGTATCCTAGGAAACCAGTCTTCAAGGATTTTGAGTCATCAAAACCTGTAAACAATCTGTATAACGATTCGTTTGGAACATGTTGGTAGAAACTCTGGGTCAGTTTCCTAAGTTACTGATACGAAAGATCATCTGCAGTTTCCTAGGTTACTGATACAAAAGATCCTTTGCAGTTCCATAGGTTACTGATACTAAAGATCCTTTTCATTTTTCCTAAAAGACCGATACATAAGATAATTTGCATGTTCCTATGGTACTGATACATAAGATCAGTTATTGTCTCCAAGGTTACTGATACTAGAAATATATTCCACTCACCTATGTTACTGATACTAAATATCCTTTTCAGTTTTCCTAGGTGGCCGATACATAAGATAATTAGCAGTTTCCTGTGTCACTCATATTAAAGATCATGTGACATTTACTAGATGATAGATACTCAAGATCATTTACATTCTCCAAGGTTACTGATACTAGCGATAATTTACACTCTCTTAGGTCACTGATACTAAAAATAGTTTTCAGTTTCTTCGGTTACTGATATTAAAGATAATTTACAACCTCCAAGGTATTTACACTCTCCTTTGTTACTGATACAAAAGATGATGTGCAGTTTCCTAGGTTACTGATAATAGATATCGTTAACACTCTCCTAGGTAACTGATACCCAGGATCATTTGCATGTTACTAGGTTAACGTACTAAAGACCATTTGCAGTTTCCTAGATGATTGATACTGAAAAACATTTACGCCATCTTAGATTACTAATACTAGAAATCATATACACTCTTCTAGGTTACTGATACTAAAGATCATTAGCAGTATCCTAGGTGACTGATACATCAGATAATTTACACTCTCCAATGTATCTACACTTTCCTAGGTTACTGATACTAGAAATCATTGACACTCTCCAAGGTTAATGATACTATAGACAATTAACACTCTCCGATGTATTTACACTATCATAGGTTACTGATACTAGAAATCATTAACACTCTCCGATGTATTTACACTCATCTATGTTACTGATACAAAGGATTATTAGAAGTTTCCTAGGTGACTGATACTCAAGATCATTTGCATGTTACTAGGTAATTGATACTAAAGACAATTACGCCTTCCTAGATTACTAATTCTAAAATCATGACCACTCCCTAGGTTATTAATACTGGAGATAATTTACACTCTTCTAGGTCACTGATACTAAAGACCATTTACATTTTACTATGTTATTGATACTAAATACAATTTACACTCTCTGATGTATTTACACTCTCCGAGGTATTTACAGTCTCCGAGGTATTTACACTCTCCGAGGTATTTACACTCTCCGAGGTATTTACACTCTCCGAGGTATTTACACTCTCCGAGGTATTTACACTCTCCGAGGTATTTACACTCTCCTATGCTGCTGATACAAAAGATCATTAGCAGTTTCCTAGGTAACTGATACATCAGATAATTTACACTCTCCAATGTATTTACCCTCTCCTAGGTTACTGATACTAGAAATCATTGACACTCTCCAAGGTTAATGATACTAGAGACAATTTACACTCTCCGAGGTATTTACACTCTCCTATGCTGCTGATACAAAAGATCATTAGCAGTTTCCTAGGTAACTGATACATCGGATAATTTACACTCGCCTCCGTATCTGATACTGTACTATAAATCACTTATACTCTTCTAGGTAACTGATACATCGAATAATTTACACTCGCCTCCGTATCTGATACTGTACTATAAATCACTTATACTCTTCTAGGTAACTGATACATCGGATAATTTACACTCGCCTCCGTATCTGATACTGTACTATAAATCACTTATACTCTTCTAGGTAACTGATACATCGAATAATTTACACTCGCCTCCGTATCTGATACTGTACTATAAATCACTTATACTCTTCTAGGTAACTGATACATCGGATAATTTACACTCGCCTCCGTATCTGATACTGTACTATAAATCACTTATACTCTTCTAGGTAACTGATACATCGGATAATTTACACTCGCCTCCGTATCTGATACTGTACTATAAATCACTTATACTCTTCTAGGTAGCTGATACTAGAAATAATTAACACTCTCCTTGGTTACTTATACTGGAGATTAAATTACACTACCCTAGGTTACTGATACTTGAGACCATTACAATTGTTCTAAGTGTTTGAAACAGGAGATCATTTGCATTCTCCTGGGTTACTGATACTAAAGATTATTTGCATTTTCCAAGGTAAAACATACTGGAAATCATTTACATTCGCCAATCTGTCCGATACTAAAGATCATAAGCAGTTTCGGGTTACTGATACAAAAACATAATTTACAATCTCGCATCTTACTGATACCAAAAGTCTTTTTCAGTTTCCTAGGTTACAGATACTAGAGACCATTTACACTTATCTATGTCACTCATACTTGAAATCATTTACACTCTCCAATGTAAATAACTCTAGAGATCATTGACATTCTCCTAGGTAGCTGATGTTGGAGATCATTTGCACTCTCCTAGGCAACTGACACTAACTCATCATTTACACTCACGCATCTTACTGATACCAAAGGTGTTTTGCAGATTCCTATGTTACTGATACTAGAGACCATTTACAATTTTTTATGTCACTCAAACTTGATATCATTTAAACTCTCCAATGTAAATAACTCTAGAGATCATTGACATTCTCCTAGGTAGCTGATGTTGGAGATCATTTGCACTCTCCTAGGTAACTGACACTAACTCATCATTTACACTCACGCATCTTACTGATACCAAAGGTGTTTTGCAGTTTCCTATGTTACTGATACTAGAGACCATTTACAATTTTTTATGTCACTCAAACTTGAAATCATTTACACTCTCCAATGTAAATAACTCTAGAGATCATTGCCATTCTCCTAGGATACTTATACTAGAAATGATTTAAACTCTCGAATCATACTGATACTAAATATCATATGCAGTTACACAGGTTACTGGTTTCCTAGGTTACTGATACTAAAGATAATTTGCAGTTTCGTAGGTTACTGATATTAAAGATCATTTGTAGTTTCCTAGGTTACTGATACTAAAGATCATTTGTAGTTTTCTAGGTTTCTGATACCAAAGATCATTTGTAGTTTCCTAGGTTACTGAAACTAAAGATCATTTGCAGTTTTCTAGGTTTCTGACATTAAAGATCCTTTGGAGTTTCCTTGGTTTCTGATACTAAAGATCATTTGCATTTCCTTAGGTTACTGATACATAAGATCAATTATTATCTCTAAGGTTACTGATACTAGACATATATTTCACTCACCTATGTTACTGATACTAAATATCCTTTTCATTTGTCCTAGGTGGCCGATACATAAGATCATTTGCAGTTTCCTGAGTCACTCATATTAAAGATCATTTGAAGTTTACTAGATGATAGATATTCAACATCATTTACACTCTCTTATGTCACTGATACTAAAAATGATTTTCAGTTTTTCGGTTACTGATACAAAAGATCTTTTACAATCTCCAATGTATTTACACTCTCCTATGTTACTGATATAAAAGATCATTTGCAGTTTTCTAGGTTACTGATAGTAGATATCATTTGACAATCTCCTAGGTAAATGATACTCAGGATCATTTCCAATTTACTAGGTTATTGATACTAAAGACAATTACGTCTTCCTAGATTACTCATACTAAAATCATGACCACACCCTAGGTTACTGATACTAAAGACCATTTGCATGTTACTAGGTTATTGATACTAAAGACGATTACGTCTTCCTAGATTACTCATACTAAAATCATGACCACTCCCTAGGTTACTGATACTAAAGACCATTTGAAGTTTCCTATGCTATTGATACTAAAGACAATTTACACTCTCCGATGTATTTACACTCTCCTATGTTACTGATACAACAGATCATTAGCAGTTTCCTAGGTGACTGATAGATCAGATAATTACACTCTCCAATGTATTTACCCTCTCTTAGGTTACTGATACTAGAAATCATTGACACTCTCCAAGGTTAATGATACTAGAGAAAATTTACACTCTCCGAGGTATTTACACTCTCCTATGTTACTGATACAACAGATCATTAGCAGTTTCCTAGGTGACTGATACATCAGATAATTACACTCTCCAATGTATTTACCCTCTCTTAGGTTACTGATACTAGAAATCATTGACACTTTCCAAGGTTAATTATACTAGAAACAATTTACACTCTCCGAGGTATTTACACTCTCCTATGTTACTGATACAAAGGATTATTAGCAGTTTCCTTGGTGACTGAAACATCAGATAATTTACACTCGCCTCCGTATCTGATACTAGATATCACTTACACTCTTCTAGGTTGCTGATACTAGAAATAATAGCTAAAATAAAGAAATGAAAATAGCATACATATTATTTACATTTCTGTTTAATGTACGTTGTACAAGTCATAAAGCCTTATTAACTCGAATAAGATCAAATCAACCCGTATCAATTTAAAGTATTAAATACAGTGGCGGATGCAGGGTTGTTACTATGCACTATAGTGGCTTGAACAACACCCTTTTTTCTGTGTCCAAAATTATTCTGACCCAAATATATTTGAAGATTTTACTCCATTTCATATGAATTTCTCATTAAAAAGTTGAACCAATGTTTTCTTCCCCTTGCCAGCAGTTCTTATATATCTGTAGGCCTGAGGGTGTTGCCCAAACACCACTGATTTCACTTTCACCTAAACAATATAATTATGATATTTATCATATGTTGAAATAAAATATCCCTCTATTGTTATTAGCACGTGTCCAGTCAGGTCAATGATCAGTTCTTGTTTTACCTGACCCTAACAGGTTATCCTTGCACTACCTGTATTGAAGTTCTGTAAGAGGGGAGTTGAGCTACACCATTTGGGGAATTAGGTATGGGCCGATAGATCTAGACGTATAGGTTGAGGCTGTTTTCATTTTTACCTTTAAAGGGGCATCACGGTGAAGTGTATATTTTGTTTGTCCTTTTTTTCTCAAATACTACATAAGATTTGGCTGATATATATTCATAAAAATGAATAATTTTAAGATAATCATCGGGATTTCTACCTGTCTGACCAACGTTTTGTTCATTGATTTCCCTCTACTTTTTTTTCTTACATGCAAGATTTAGATATGTAAAAATGACGGTCCAGGATGAATAACTGAGGAAGGAGAACCTACTTATAGTAAATAGGATCGCATAACAAATATATTTTTTAAATCGTTATGTTTCAACAGTTCATGTTTACACATGATGTTGACTTAGAATGTATGATCATGTAACAACTTTTTTCTATAAATAATTAATTCTCAACACGTTCCATACCTGGCACATATTCTAACTGTACACGTAGTGGTTTTGTCAGAAATGTTTATTGTGTGTGATGGCTAATATTACTTACTAAGTGTTAGAGTATAAAGACAGTAAAAGTGGGAAAGAGAGTATACATGAATATATATAATGCATGGTATAGAAAAAAGTCAATGTAAAAAAGAAATCACAAACGTTTTTCTCTTTTTTATACATGTCAATGCATCTGCACTTTATGAAAACAATTGAAAAGGGATATTCGTCTCGTGAATATTCCCTTTTAAAGAAAGGTGTGTCCCTTGGTTGAGGGAGGTGTTTGGCCCCGTTCCATTTGTACCGGTCACATTCCGGTAATAGATATTTCTTGGTGTCTTTAAATAATGCCGAGTTGCCGACAAATATTTCTTCATTGAAATTCTGAATATCGGCATGTGTGCAATTAACTTCTGATGATGAATAATTACTGATTCAATAAGTTTCAACACGGACTTAAAAATCATATAACTTGGTTTCATAGTGCGGTAAGAAGTTGTAGTTGCCTGACGGCCCCACTCTTGGGGCCCCTTTGGATCTCGTTCAGACCATAAACCGCCAGATGCTATTTTTAACAGGGCTTTCCCGAACAGTTCAAGTGGTCAAACTGGACATTTGGAACGGACTATGACTATTGGGATAGCAAGCTAACATAAGTGGAAGTGCATACAACACATACATTCATTACAAAAAGATATGGCTCTTCACGTGATGTCCCTTTAAGAGTCATTATTTTGATTACAATATGGTTTTTTTTGCAGTATAATATAATTTCCTATAGCATACCAGTGGCGGATACAGACACCTATCTGGTATGGTTTCAAAATGTCCAGGTGGGGGAGTTCAATGTGGGGGGAAATTGAGGTACAATGTACAGCATACCTGAAATTTATTTGATGTTAATTTTATCCAAACTGAGGAATTAAAACCAATTATTCAATTTATACTTCATAACTAAATGTATGTTTCCCAAAGTTCTGTTCAGAATGCACATGAATGTACCAATATCACTAATCATGGGACTTACACGTCTCTAGTTTCTCCTGCATCGATGATAGTTTTGGGATAATTCTGGGGCTAATAAGTCACCAATTCATGATCACTGTATTGGTTGTTTTGATAGTGGAATGTGGGATAAAATATGAAATATATGGTTGTTGTCGATAACTGCGATTTGAAATAACTATTTCATAAAGCAAGCAAATATAACAGGAACATGTTTTGTGTTATGTTATTTACATGGAGCTCCGATTGAATTGATGCAGCATTCAGTTAAACGTGAGTGTCAGTTGTGTATATCTTGAATTAGTTTAGTTTTAGCCTGGGGCGAACTTGCCCCAGTCTCCCCTTTCAGCTGCGTCAAATATACCCTATATATAAGTCCCTATAATATGGTGACAGACAATATGATTTTAATTGTTTGCCAATTCCTAAGAGCGAAAAATTGTGCCTAAATGAAGTTTTATGTTTTGAGTTTGGGCAACACACCCCGAACTAATGTCCTCTATCCGCCACTGAAATACATGTACGTTACTATTTTGTACCTATCTATATCTCTTCCAGAAACACAATCATGTTCTTGACAAAGTTCACTTAAAACACACCCTGTTTCTGTCAGGGTATAACCGTTATATATCTTACCTTGTACGAGTGTGACGTGTAACTCACAATACGCTGTGTTATTCCACTCTCAGATCATTGTATAAACACGCAGACTGTTAGATAAATATGAGCTATATACCACACGTGGTATATGACATTAAAGACTTTTGATTGGTCGAGAAGATGAAGTTTGACCGGAACGACTTTTTCGACGCGCTTTTAACCACATGCTGTTTTGTTTACGTCGTCTGCTATCAACATCCGACAAATGGTGGTGACTTTGTGAGGTTATGCGGAAAAGGGGGTTATTAAGGCAATATTAAAAGAAGATGATACTTAAAGATTTGATCGCTAGTTTCAGGCAAAATTGCTACAGACGCTCGATATCATTTCGACGTCACACCGTCGCGTGTCCAGGTTGTGAAACCAAAACAAGATCCGTCACAGTGTCGGAAAATATTTCCTTCTCCCAACGTCCCGTTATCGCTATTTGGACGGCCTGACTATGGCTGAACTTTCACTATAAACATCAATCATAGAACCGTCAAGAAGAAACGTAGGCCTATGGTTTTGGACCTTGATAAGTTCGTCTTCGTCACTTGGCGGGAGGCAGACTTCGTACGATATGCTTACGCGCATATAGTCCGTGGTTAATTTATATAAATTAATGCAATACTGCTACTCTCAATATTTAAAGTCGTTCATCTATCATATTTTTCCATGAAGTTGTTGTCGAAACATTAATTTTGACAATTATTAAATTTGTAAAAAAGAATTTGTTTTTTAATACTAATGAGTGACTTTTTACATATGGGTCATATCACTACGCCAGCCTTGTCAACAAACACATATGTGTATTGTTATTTCCGACTGATCATGAGATTGTGGTAGAAACAGATCACACGACTCGTGGTTGTTGAAAGCGAGTGTCTTTCTGTAACTTTTGAAAATTAACTAACGAGAGTGAAATAAATACCATATTCAACAAGCACTTGTTGTGTAACGGTTTTTTTTAGATTCCATTTGGCACCATTGAGCTTCCGTAGAATATCATATCGTTAGTGTAAAATATTAATTATTTTCAACTTTTCAAGTGCTTTATGTAGAATATTTTCATATTTTCACGAATTCAAATTGTAAATAAGACAAGTGAACACCCATGCAGATAGGAGATTGAGAAAAAAATAAACAATTTACAGTACCTGTTGTTATATACTGCATAATGTAAAAGACACCTATGTGGAAACCTCTGCAGAATCGGGGATTAGCTGTTGTGTCCTCTACTTGGGAACACAAAACGATCACAATATATCTGCTGCACCTATTTCTGCATTTTGGATCTTTCTTTTTTCTCTCTACTTCCTAACTAGCACTAATCCCATACGCCTTGCTTGAAAATATATTGTCACTTTTCGCCCTATTATTGAACGTTCGCCCACGTGGGGAAGGCATTAGGTTCTGGACCCAGGCCGAGACATAACATCGTCCCAGAAAATGGTAAATCCCTGTTAAACCTTCATTATTTAGGGTAATTGCAACAACCGGTTACATATGTCATATGTATTCCATACAAAAACAATTCAATGCTTAATTAGCTATTTTCGTGACAAGATGATTGATAAAACAGAAACCTAAGTACAGTTCTATTTATACATTATTATATTTGTAAATGTGTAAACTAACTAAAAAACCAGCGAAAACTTCGGGCATTTTTATGCGCAGATTGCACAGCTCGGTTATTTTGAAAAGTCTATAACAAAACGGTGACTCATTACGTGTAGGCATTCAATGAATAAACAACTGTACCAGGATGTTGGTATTCCTGTAATAGTAGCTATAGACCCTTTTATGCCGGTCAATGATTATACATCGTCGATTATTTATGTTTTGTGTGTAACTATACAATTTATATGTGTAACTATACAATTCGTTTGGGTAACTATATAATTCAAATGTGTAACTATTCAATTCTTATGTGTAACTATACAATTCATTTTGTGTAACTTTACAAAAGACTTTAACGTTTCGTAGCGCTATCCCGATCTCAACTTTGGCTATCGGGCATGCTAGAAACTGACGCCTGCATCCCTCATTCCTCTTTGGTTGTCAAGCACGGTAGAAACTGGAGCCTGCATTCCGAACATTTCTTTCCTTATCAAGCATACAAGAACCTAAAGCCTACATCCCGAACTCCACTTTGGTTATCGGACATGCTCAAAACTGAAGACTCCATCCCGAATAATACTTTCGTTATCGGGCATGCTAGAAACTGAAGCCTACATCACGAACTCAACGTTGGTTATCGGGTATGCTAAAAACCGAAGCATCCATCTCAGACTACATTTCGGTTATCGGGCATGTTAAAATCTGAAGCCTCCATCCCGAACTCCATTTAGATTATTGGAAAGAAAACAGAACACACCAAGTCATTTGTCAACAAACTCTTTGTATTAAAACTGATACTGTTGTTACCCTGCAGCTAAGAAAGTTATAACTGTTAAATAGAGCAAAAATAACCCAACAGTGTTCATACATTTGGATGAATTTGGACAAAAAGTCTACACCAAATCATCACACAAAATAACAAGAGAGTAATGAATGTCAACATTACCGGATAGAGAGGCAACTAGCATAGACAGGCAGGTATTGTTAATAAACAAAAAAGGTTACACTCCCATGTGCTCTGCTAGATAAGCCTTCCTTTCCAATAATAATTTAAAGCATACCTTATTGTCTTATTTTTTTCATAAACTGACAAAATTGCACAGTTAAGCCTCTGGTCAAACTGATGACATTTTATTTTATTATTTCGCTAATGAACTATCAATGTTTTACCGTTGGTATTTCATTTCAAGTTAAAAACTGAATTCCGTCCATGTTGGCTTCCATCTTCATTATTTTATTTTTCAGATGCCATTAGGCGATATTAGCAACTACATGCACAGGATGCGACCGCTGCCACTGCGCGAGATCTGACGACAACAATAATCTAGCGTAAAAAGTAGCCGACTTTTGATCGTGCTTTTTGCTGTATTTAAAATTAATCTCGGACAAATAAAATTTGTCAACAAAGTATAGTACTGTAAGGCATACTCGAATGGGCAGTCCATTTTTCATCAAAACATTGGTTTCAACGTTAATTATCATATTTTACATCTTTCATAACAGAGATAAAAAAAATATATACTTCATGGGCATGACGTCATAATGCAAAAAAAATGAGATGACGTCATGTCACGACAAAGTCATTTCAATCTTTTTTGCTGAGTTACATTGTCCAGTTTAAGTAATTGATCTTCATTTATTTTGGTCACATAAATAATCTTTCCAAGTTAAATACAGTATCAACAAAACCGTGATCCGCTGTTCCAAATAGCATGAACAATTTTAAAATTAGGTCAGAACTAAAGAAATTTATATTTTGTCACCAGACGGCAACTAAACATCTCTATAAAAGAAATCGGTAAGCTATGTAAGAAAATCATATGTAAGTTATGTACAGTTAGGAGCGATAGATCACACTTTTGTGTACATTATTTGTTTGTACATGTTCGTTTGGTTGGGCGTTTCTATCCTATTTATGTGCATGATAGTGAGGTATACTACCATACACTATAATGATACAATACACTATTTATTTGTAAAATAATACAATACTCCATATATTGGCAACACTATATTCACAATACCCCTACTAGTAAAGTTATAATACAATATATATCATCAACCAGTTTACCTGTACCATAACATACTACCTACTAGTGAGTTTTGTTTATAATATAACATTTGATTGTAAATTGATTAATAGAGTTTATCATATATAGGTGTGTGGGATATTGATATCCTACCTAAAGGTATAGAAGATGGGTCAAAACCGAAGTTTTGCTGAGGTTCTGATACGGAATTCTGCTCTTTATCTTCAAAGTTCTAACCGAAATTTTGGCAAAACTGGACATAGAAAACACTAAATATGGCAAAGTTTCAAATAACGTTTACACAAACTATATTTGGAAAGAGCAGAAAAAGTATGGTATACCGTATGTATACCATTAAAACATCCGTCCAATGACATTCAGGGCAAGCCTTTATAAAAAAACATTATGTCTTGAGGGTGTTGTCACTTGCAGACGGCAGGATTGCCAGTCAGCCAAACGTTATTTTGACGCACTTTCAATTGTGACGTCATAACAACATCCCATTATCTGATTGTGACGTCATAAAAGTACAGGTCAGTGAGTGCACCCATGCATTGAGATGTTCCACATGATGCACGTGTGTCTTTCATACGCAGAGGTGGGAGAAGATACAATGTACCATCAACTGGCAAAACGATATGACAATGTTATACCTACTAGTAAAGTTATACAACAATGTATAATCTGCAAGTTGAATTATACAATACACCATCTACTGTTATAATTATTCTACAATATACCCCCATGCTAGTGAAATAATACTACAATAAACAATCACATACATTTACATTTGTAGTAATAAGTCACGTGTAGCAATATACATTACATTTTTTAGTTTTGTCCCCTTGTTCAATATGAATCAACTTCATCAGTTGTTCATGCTCATGCAAACTTCCTTGTCCAAAAGCCGTCGTTCCCTATATGATGAGCAGGGCTACTAATCAATGTCTGCACCAGTAAAGACTCACATTAGCAGGCATCTGCCACTTGTGTCTTCATCATACAGAGTGCAGAGTTTTCCAAAGGATTCGATGCTCTGATGGTTACCAAGGTAACTACATTCGGTAAACAAGCCGTATAAATCGGCTTTCATCCCCCTTAGTGAAAGTATGGCCTGTGCAAAGTGGTCGTGAGGAATGTTTCTAAACAGATTGAAACGTCTCTGATTGGGGCTGACTGATAGTTTCGGAAACATGCTGGAAATGTAAGGATTTCCGTAGAAATAATGTGGCAAGAACTCCATTTCAAGACCTATCGCAAGGAACGCAATGAGGTAGCCCAAAGCCTCCTTGACGCCAGAAACGTGCAGTTGAAGAAGAATACAGTGGATCGCGAGGTTCTTGATGTGGTATGACGATAGAAGACTACATAGTTGTGAGGAGTAACCCCAGTTGTCTAGGTAGGCCTTTAATAT